GTGACAACTCCAGTTCCGCTCAATGAGTCGGAACAGTTCTTGTTCAATTCAGTTGGAGATGTTAAACAGTTCAGTTCATTTGAATTGGAGATGGTCACCAGTTCATCGATTCAGCTCTCACGAACTGTTGAGCCTGAGTGGTCACATACCTAATCTCAATCAGTCCTACAAATAGCTAAAACAGGAAACTGAACAATAGTCAGCATATAGGTGGCTTGTATTCAGGAAATTGATTGAACAAATGAATTGTAATTTTATATAAAAGCAAAATCAGATTATTAGTTGACTATTGAATTGTTATGAAGCCAACTCAGAAAATACGTTGATATACATGGGTAGAATAAAATTATTTATATAGATTTTCAAACGTCCCAATAGTATATTTACTAAAGAAAAAAACATATTTTCGAAGTAAAGCATGTCTTCAATAATGATGATTAAAATTCGCGTAATCTATTTATAGATAATCTTTATAGTGTTTAATCATGTGTGATCTTGTCTTATGTCAAACATTTTACTCCTTAATACTTAATCAAAAAATAATCATAAAGTCTGTGAAACATCATTAATTCCATCTTTAAGATTGTTTTGCATTCAATGACAACATTTTGTTATTCGTCTCTTCTAGTTTGATCGAAAACAGAACAGTTTACCGACTGATTTCATAAACACGAACGTTAAGATTATTCTGACATACCGAGAAAATGAACATGTTGAATAATAAATAAAAGTCAATTCATTCGACAGTAAAAATCATATTCCTTTCCCAATTTATATAAATGCCATGCATGTTATATCATGTTTATGATATATTCCTCATAACATCGATGGGCAATTTATAGATACCAATGAAAATATACATCAGTTTTATGTGAAATATTCTTGTTGAATAAGTTTATATTCTTATTGAAACGCAACTCACGCATATATGATTTCAAAAACGCATCTAAATGCTAATAAAAAACAAGAAAGATATTTCAAAAAATCTAGCATAGAAAGAAAAAAGAGATGGCATATAATGTAAATCAATACTGATACGAAATAAGAATAAAATATTTACATCATAATGGTAATCGAAACCAAATTGAACAAGAAAAACTTGTTGATTACCTACTGTAAAAAAATTGATTGTCGTTATTTGCAATGTTTAATATGATTATGAATGCAGAAAAATAAATCTTTATCTATGTTTTTCACATTTCTTTGTTTGACTTTCTACTCAGTCATATATAATTAACAAATAATATGCCAGACGCATGATTTTTTCATAAGTTCCAATGGGAAATCTTTAATAATTAAATAAATTTTTCTTTGATAAATGAATCTGCATTTTTATACTGTCAATTACCAGTTTCATTTTGTTATACTTAAGAAAGAAAAGCTTTGAAATTCATTTGAAATAAAAAACAACAATAGGTTAATCTAATCTTGATATGGTTTTTTTTTTCTCGAAAATTCATTGACTTCATTTCGTTTTATGCTCTCTCTTCCACTGATGTATAATACAATGAACAAAAAAAAAAAGAAGAAATTCAAAATACACGCTTGTATATAAAGTCAACATTTTTTCGGGTCTAATCAACTATAAAAAGAAAGAAAGAAAAAAGGGGTAACCAGTTAGAGAGCAACTTCTTACACATGTTTGTTTGCATATAAATAAATTTACACCATAAATACGTGTCCATTTCATAGGAAAATAGATAATGAAAAAAAAGAAAAAACGCGGTTTTTTTGATTTCGTCACCGACACAGTAATCAATACTGTTCTAAAATGATGGAACACAGGAATATTATCAAATAAAAGACAAAAAAGAAAAAAAAAGATCATCGCAAATTGTTCAAATATTTAATTTTATGCAAGAACTAAAACAAATAAAAGATTTTCAATTGAGAGAAGTAAATATTTTGTTTGTTTATACCTTCATTTCGTTGGTGATATATCTCCATTAGATACATTCTTCGAACATTTAGCTGCTAAAGTTGAATAAGGTTCTCCATGAAGTAAAAGACATAATACAACTGTCATATTATCACAACCAAGTCCACCCATTTGACAATTCGGTGCCAAACAACGTGTCATTAATTCTTCACAAATCTAATTTCGAAAAGAATTTATTGATTTTTCAAATTAATCAATATCTATTTACAGATCAATATTAAATATCTCATCAGAAGAGTCATCAATGATGTAAATAAATATGCAGAAGAATAAGTCAAATCTACCGAGGGATTTCTCTCGCTATCATATAAAATATATACTATCAGGACAAAATAAGTATACTATAGAATAAGCCAAGAAGTAACATATTTTCTAGATAAAGTTTTAGCTGTGATATTCTTTGTAAGTTTGAAGTTCATATGAGATATCCTTATATGAATGGAACTAAGTAAATAAATCCTTCTCATACCATTTCTGGTGTCATTTGTTGAGCGACTCGTGTTCGAACAAATTTTAAAACTTCTTCATTACTAAGCACATCCCATATACCATCACAAGCAAGTAATATGAATTCCCAATCTTCAGTAATTGTTTTTGTAACAACATCCGGTGCCGCTATAAAAGAAATATTTCATTTAATCAATATATGTATATATTCGAATTTTACCAGTAACAACTTGTTCTTCTGCTTTTTTATCCGTATTTCGTTTAAATATAAAATCTCCAAGTGCTCGAGATAAAGCCAAATTTCCTAAATTAAAAAAATAAAAAGTAAAAGAAAACTTTTGTTATGCTGATTTTTACCATTAACACGATTAAATTCTACCCAACCACCAGCAGCTGTTATACGTTTTCGTTCATCATCATTATTTGGTTTATGATCTGTTGAAAGTGTTTCAACATTTCCATTAACCGAAGCAATTGCTCTACTATCACCAACATTTCCACAATAAAGTTTATTATCTTTAATAATGACACTAATGGCTGTTGTTCCAGCTAAATCTTCTCTCATTTCGTCATCTGTAGCCATTTCTTTATCAAAATCAAGAAAACCTTTTCTTATAGCTCCTTCAATATTTCCTTGTTCTAAAAAACAGAAATTAATTAATCAAAAAAACAAATGAATGATAAAATAACGTACTAAAATCCGGTTGATTAGCAATGCGTGTATGTAGATGTTTACATGAATGTTGAGCAACTTTCGCTCCTCCATGACCATCATAGACAGCTAAGAAAGCAACACTTTTATCTTCGGGTAATGATAAAATATGTGTATGTGCATCTTCCATATCTAAATTTATATAGATTTATTTAAAAAGATTTCATAGAAAAGTTTAACTTACTAATACGCCATCCTTGCATACTACTACTTCCGACTGAATATAAATGATTTTCTACTTTTTGAGAATCTTTTGAAGTTACAGGTTCTAAATTTAAAAATTTTTTACATATAAATTTTCTTCTATTTCTTTAATTTTAGTCTGTTTTACCAGAAAGTGTTTGACCCATTTTGTTTTTATTTTTTTTTCTATTTTGTTTTTGTTGTATACACTGATTACATAGTATTAATTGACATAAATATATATATATCTAAAATGTGTAATCAAGAATTGTTTCACATTGAATCAGCAGGAAGTTTATTTTTCCTATTGACATTAGAGGTATATGAAAGTAAAACAGAAGAAAAAACGATAAGAACGTGCCGATATTACGTATTGTCTTTTTCACATGCCAGCAGAATAAAAATCAATCATAATAAGATCGATTATGTATGTAGTTAAAAAAATGTTGTTTTTTCTTGCGTTCAGCAGTGATTGATTGGTTTAAAGGATTATTTATTTTTAGGAGGAATTTTGAAAAAAAAGAATGAGAACTATAGCTTATATTTTTGAATAATATTTTATTGTATTAATAAAAATTAGAATAAATATGAATGTGTACGCGATTATATATAATATTAAAAAAATCAAAGTTTTATTACTTCTTAATAGAGGTCACTAATATATGAAATAGATTTTTATATTATAATCGGCATTATAAAAGTTGAAGGTAAATGAATAGTGGCAAACTTAATTGTAGTCTCGGTCATTCGAAATTGGATTATTATATAGAATGTGTGATAAAATGGAGTTTTAATTTACGCTCATCAATGGCGAACTATTTTGATACAGGATTAAACTTTTCACTTTTTTGAGAATGATCGATAAGATGAATAGGAAATAATTCAATAATATATTGATTTCTCATTGCTTAATCAAGAAAGAGTCTAGAAAATCTATCAAGTTTCGATCGAAATTTTTACAAATACTTTGTCGTTAATCTTCAAATTTGCTGGTCGAATAGTACACCATAGAAGGTTTTGATTTCTCAGTATACAGATCTGAAATATTAATTTTCTGGAAAAGTGAACCTAACACTGTCTCATTGTAGTTATAGTTTAGACAGAAACTGGAGTGCAAGAAAAATTCAGTCTAATAAATTCTAATCTATAATGTTAAGGCTAGAATAGTATTGTACTGAACCATAAAATAAACACACCTTGCATCTATAATTTTATTTTACAATGACACCTAATGCAGATGTTGCATCATCAATGAAATTCGTCATAGATACGAATAATGCATTACAATGTAGAATGTCAATATAAGTTGTCAACTCATTTATTACATATTTACAAATAATATTCGACACAAACATCCACTCTCTTATATTATTGAAGAAATAAAATGTTTGATTACATTGTTAAAACATATTACAATGAGATGAAGATCTCTACTCTTCTATCACTCATGTCTCTAGTACTATTTAAAAGTGGTACTCATGATTCATAATAATACGTTATATAGTAACAGAATAAATTGTTAAATTTCGAAAAACAGTAGTGTATAATACTTTCTTATCTTAACTAAATAAAATCATTTGATTTAATCTATAGTAAGACCAAAATGAATAATATCGAAACAAGTATATTGACAATAATTATTTATTTATTTTAAACTAGTCTATCATGTCTGCTCGACAACAAAAAAATAGTTGTAAAAAAAAAAGGAAAAAGAAATAATTAAATATAAAATTCTCGCTGGTCATCTGCTGTTAATAATGGTGATTTTTTACGTTTGCGTCGTGAATGTGATTTGATATTAGGTTTTTTTGTTCGAGATTTTGTTGAATTTAATCCTTGTTGATTATATTCACCGGGTGATGACGGTATTTCAACAATTAATGGTCGAAATCGTTGTGTCTCTTCAAGTTCATAAACGCCTGCATCTTTTCGACGATATTTCATACAAGCACAGATACATAATATCATACAGAATACAATACTACATAGAAAAAATATAGCAAATATCCAAATATATTGCCAATAAAATTTATCTCGAAATCGATTTGTATCGGGTGTACGAATTGAAACAATTAATGCTGGAATATCACTAAGATTTGTTGAATTTAATATATGAGAAGTTAATAGTTGATAGGATGTTGTTGAAGTTATTACGGAAGTTCTTGATGTTACTTTAATTGTAGATCGAGATGGTATTCGTTTAGGAAGAGATACTTGACTTGTTACATTCGAATATGATAATAAACTTGAATTTGTATCAGATATTATCATACAAATATCATCATTTGGTTGATATGGACATGATGAACGCGTAAAATCATCTTTGATTCGATACGATGGATAAATAATAGGTGATGAAAAAGACAGCAGAGATGTATTTCGAACAGGTGTGAATGAAATACGTTGGAATGTTTGTGATATTAAATCAAATATAGAATAAATATCAGATTCAAGACCATAGAGTTGACCCTGAAGGAAAAATAGAACAGATTTAAAATAATATAATGCAATATCAAATACCTGAAATGGATATGTAAATATTGGATTTTGTCCAATTAATAATACCAATGGTTTATCAAATACTAATTTATAATTTAATTGTTTTATTACTGCTTTATTATCAACATTTAAAGATAAATATCCTGTTATATCATATGTAATTTGTATTAAATGATAATAACCATCATTAATCAAACGATTATTATCTAAATAATCATTTTCATTTAATTTAATTCGTATAAATCCATAATATATTTCAATAGATAATTGATCATTTATACGTATAATTTCAGC